CCTATTAAGCTGGAAAGCATTTCTTCATTTTATCCTGAGCCACAGAACAAGATTTTCATATTTATTTGCAAGATAAAAAAGTCACCACATACCCTATACTTGTTAAGAGCTCTTTAAATACACAGGAAGTCAAAGGGAAACAGAAGTGCTCCCACAGGATGCTGTCCCCAAAGGGAACAGGCTCTGAAAAATAATTCTTGCCAAATCAGGATGTTGCTAGAAATAAACATATTATAGACAAGATTTTTTAAGATGTATCTAATGTCACCATTAGGCATAATCAGCTAAATGTGTTTCAGCAAATATATGAACCTACCCACTTAGAAAAATTTGTGATCAATTCAGTAGAGTGCTTATATTTTAGAAAATAAGAAAATTTGTTTATATTTTAGAAAATAGAGTAACTGATACTATTTTATGAGTTTGCTGATTTTTTTAAAAAAAGTTTTTCAAGAGTTTCAGGTTTTACTAGATGCAATAAAATGGAAATATAATTCTCAATTTCAATTACATTACAGTGAGATTGTTTTTAATCTGTAATCCTCATTGAGGCAGAACTGATTCCTGGAAAGGCTATGTTCAGAGGCACAAATAAGTTATCATACCTCCAACTAAGGATTCTGAGGCTAAGCAACTGAGGCCAGAGGAATGACTACTAGAGGTTTGAATTGTTTATTAAAACGGAACTAAGACCGTACCTGTATCTTTCATACAAGTTTTCAATGGGACTACATATTTTTCCCTTATAAGGATGATGAAATTCCCTTTTTAGTTTCCCTGTTCCTTTCTATGCATAATTCTCAACCTTCCAAAAAAACAATTTGAAGACACAAGTATGTTCCTAAAGGACTCTTCAAAATCTTAAGTATTTTTAAAATAAAATGAGTCTCCAATTAAGGAAGGCAAAGTCACTGTATACAAAAATTTGTAAAATAGAAAAGAAATAAAAATAAAATCAACTCGAATCTAGCCACTGAAAAACAAACACAGTTAACATTTTGGTAAGCTTCCTTCCAGGCTTACTTATATAATCTTAATAAAACTGGGGACCATGGTTTACATACTGTTTTATTAGATACTTTTCATTAATTGTGAGGATTTATTTCATTTCATTATTTTTCAAAAATATTTACATGGCTACAGAGTTCTCCATTTTATGAAGTTCTGAAAAGTCACTTAACCAACTTTCTTCTATTGAATGGGTGTTAGTTTTTATTGCAAATTATTAAATTAACATTACATATATCAACCGATATCTTAAGTATGTAAGACTCTCTGAATATTTATTTTATTAATGTCTTAAAAGCATATTTATTAGGTCAAAGATGATAAACAATTTTAAGATGTTATATACACCATGGGAAATCCTAACCAAAAATGGTTTATCAGCACTCTATTCGTGACCTAAAGAGTGTATTTCACCAGGCAAATGCTATTAAAAGGATAGGATCACCAACATTTCACTCACCTTTATCAATTCTCAGTATTTTCATAGGAAACAAAAGATTTGCAAATCTAATAGACAAAAACGAAGGCTTGTAGTTTTTAAAAAAAAATTGTATTGATTTTGCCATCATTTTCAACAGGTTTAAAAGCATGTTTACTGGTCACTCATATTAATAAGTGTATGCAAGTATGTGCACATGGATGTGGGTGAAAACTGTTTTATGAGCATTCTTCTTTTGAGTTTTCCATTTATGTATTGATCTAGGACAGCAGCGGTTAAGAGCTTGTGCTCTGGAATCTGACCACATGGGTTCAAAATTCCTTCTCTACCACTTAATAGTCACGTGGCTATGGCAAGTTACCTAACCATCATCTGTGAAACCGAGATAATAACAGAATGCGGCCGGGCGCGGTGGCTCAAGCCTGTAATCCCAGCACTTTGGGAGGCCGAGACGGGCGGATCACGAGGTCAGGAGTTCGAGACCATCCTGGCTAACACGGTGAAACCCCGTCTCTACTAAAAAATTCAAAAAACTAGCCGGGCGAGGTGGCGGGCGCCTGTAGTCCCGGCTACTCGGGAGGCTGAGGCAGGAGAATGGCGTAAAAACCCGGGAGGCAGAGCTTGCAGTGAGCTGAGATCCGGCCACTGCACTCCAGCCTGGGCGACACAGCGAGACTCCGTCTCAAAAAAAAAAAAAAAAATAACAGAATGGATCTGGGAATATTAAATGCAATAATCTATGCAGCAACATACAAGACAAGTGTTTTCTATTGTAATCCATTATTTACCCTTTATGGAGAATAAAACTTTTAACACTATATTTTCCATAAATAATATGTATTTTGTCAGAGTTTGCCATATGTGCCTTTTATTTGGGGGTACTTTTTGAGATACATAAGTTTTCCATTTTCATAAATGAAAATGTATCACCTTCTGTACAAGTTCTTGTTTCTATACTCAGAAAGATCCTCCCCCATCCCTCAAGAACCAAAAAAAAAAAAAAAACCATTCATTTATAGCGCTGCAAGTTCTTTTAATGTCTTTTTTAAAAAAAAACAAAAAGTTATTTTTGATGACAAAGCAGGACACAGAAAGACCATCACAGAAAGAGAAAAGCCAGAGAAACAAAAATAGATCAAAAGAGAATCAAGATCAATGAAGGTTATCCAACATTCTATTTCCTAAACACAATCCTATATTAGGGCTAATTTGACAATGTCCTTAAGTAAACCAAGAAACAGTATTTTAACTCCTTCATAAGAGGTAACTAAAGAATATTCCACAGACAACTTATTTATAAGCTGACTTTCTATGTGTTTAGCAGCCACTCTTTCAGATCTGAACCCCCTGTGTATGCAGATTAGGTTGTCACAGTGTAGGGGTAACTGTATTTTTTTTTTTTCCTAAGCTGGGATATTGCTAAGAGTGAAAGGTCACTGTGAATAACTATGCTAGGGGCCGGGCGTGGTGGCTCACACCTGTAATCCCAGCACTTTGGGAGGCTGAGACCAGCAGATTACTTAAAGCCAGGCGTTTGAGGCCAGCCTGGCCAACATGGCAAATCCCCGTCTCTACTAAAAAACACAAAAATTAGCCAGGCATGGTAGCGTGCTCCTGTAATCCCAGTTCCTCTGGAGGATGGGACACGAGAATCGCTTGAACCTGGGAGGCAGAGGTTGCAGTGAGCCGAGATTGTACCACTGCATTCCGCCTGGGTAACAGAGCAAGACTCTGCCTAAAAAAAATAAAATAAAATAAAATTATGCTAGGTTAAGACATAAGCTGACACCACCCTGGGCAAACAGATACATAGTTACCTTATTACTACGTTGCTGAAGATCCTCACCTTAAAATCTTTTAACAAATGGCTTGAATAAAACACAATCCCTTGTTTTCCACAAATTTTGCAATCTTATGATTATGATGATGGAATCTAATATATTAGATAACTTCATTCACTGTCTCCATGTGTTCATCTACCATTTACTTCTCATGCTTCTGCAATCTCACCTCCTGCTACTTCCACTCTACTGAAACTGTTTTAACAGTGCTCTCGATGTTGCTAAATCTAATGACATTTCTCTGCAATTTTCCTGCCCAACCACTTTTGCAGTGTGTCATTATAATGACCTCCCTGACCTTCTTGAGACTATCTTTCCCTGCCATAGTGAATCATGAATATGATGGGACTGTCTCGTCTCTCAGGTATGTGAAGGTGAAAAAGATTGAATACAGCTGAAAAATGATGTGAAAGCCTAACACTAACTGCAATAACAATCCCTAAAATTCTGTATTTTAACATGCTAAAGTTTAATTTCATTCACATAATAATCCAGCAATGGTGTTCCTGGTTAGCAGACGAAATTCCCCTACATAGCGACCCAGCATTCATCCCTTTGTGCCTTTGACATCTTCTAAAGCCAAGACCTCTGTACTCAGTTGGTGTTTGGGGAAAACACACAAAAACAAAAGCATGGAAGATAGCACATTGAATGTTTTTATCGGCCAGGTCTGGGAATGGTACACATTACTGCTACACACAATCCACTGGCTAAAACTTGGTCACATGGCTAAGTCTAACTGCAAGGAGGCTTGGAAATATAATCTGCCTATGTACCCCGAAACAAGAAGAAATGGGTTTTGGTGAACAGCAGTCCACTGTCTGTCACAAAAAAGGCTCTTCAAGAAATCTCTGGTATTGGTTAACTTCATTTATTTTATTTTATTTTTTTGAGACAGGGTCTTGCTCTGTCACCCAGGCTAGAGTACAGTGGCACAATCACGGCTCACTGCAGCCTCAACCTCCTGGGTTCAAGTGATCCTCCCACCTCAGCCTCCTGAGTAGTTGCAACTACAGCTGCATGCCACCACACACAGCTGATTTTTGTATTTTTTTTGTAGAGATGAGGTTTTGCCATGTTGCCCAGGCTGGTCTCTAGCTCCTGAGCTCAAGGGATCCACAGGACCGGGCTTCCCAAAGTGCTGAGATTACAAGAGTGAGCCACCCCACCAGGCCTGTTAATTTCATTTATATGTTAAATTTGTTAAGAGCAGGGGCAGGAATTGTGTAACAGCTGGAGCCTACCCCAAATCTATGCCTTTCAAATCTGACCGTTGTCCTTGTTAGGACTGGTAGGGTGACCCACAATAAATCTAACAGTATGAGGGACTACAAAACCTAATGAAAAAGAATTCAGCCTAATAACAAAGCAACCAGGGGAAAAAGAGGCAAGATACAGCAAGATGTCTCACAGCTCTCCCTTTGTGTTAACTCTAGAAAAACACCTCCTGAGTCCAGGGAAAGGAAAATGTGCGGAGAGAGCTGAGAGCACAGGCTCCTTCCACTTCTACCCAGAAGACAGAGCGGCGCTGGAGGTCCAAAGGCTTCACTACCATAGTAGTGCCCAACAGTCTTCCCTCACAGAGGCTGCAGAGGCAGCTAGGAAGCAACAGAAGCACAGCCGGGCATGTTCTGAGTAGGAGACCACCCCATGCACACTCATAAGCAAGCTCACAAATGACACTGTGACACAGGTGGAGTGGGTGAGAAGCAACATGAGAGAAAAAGCCTATGGCCAGCAGCAGGACTACTCGAAAGCTGACATGAAATCTGGGACTCCAAAATACAAGGTAAGACACTGAAGGAAGGTGATGGTACTGATGGCAGTCATAGAAATATGATTAATTATGGGTTATGTCATTCCAGTGAAAATATCCCACATTGCTATGTTCCTGAAAACTGCTTACATTTATAATATTCTTAGTAGTTGGGAGCTATTGAGTAGAGGGTATTGCATTATTCTGTAAATTTTTACATAGCAATTTTCTGCTTTGAGCCAAAGTCAAACCAGGATATAACATTTTTTATGAGTAGATAGCTGAAATTGCTATCCAATATGCTGATTTACTGATCAAAAGGAAATTTTAAATGGTACTTTTCCCTCAGGACAGAAATATAAAAAAATCAGTATTACTGTTATAAAAGTTAATTTAAATTGCCTATCAAAGTTATGATAACTAATTGATAGCACTTTATTTGTTCTCAAGTTTAATTCTCTTGTTAATAAGCTTCTCGAAAATTGGCTGAAACCTATCTAATAAAGCAAATATGAGATTTTTGGTTTTTACTATAAAAATATGATGATTCATGTAATTTCTAAGTATGAAGGAAGGCCAGGCATGGTGGCTCACACTTGTAATCCCAGCAATTTGGGAGACGGAGGCTGGAAGATCACTTGAGCACAGGAGTTCAAGACCAACCTGAGCTACATGGTGAGACCTCATCTCTACAAAAAACTTTAAAAATTAGCTGGGTGTACCATTGTGTGTGCCTACAGTCCTAGCTAAAACTTGGCAGGCTGAGGCAGGAGGGTCGCTTGAGCCCAAGAGTTTGAGGTTACAGTGGGTTAGGATTGCACCATTGCACTCCACTGTGGATGACATGGTGTGATGGTTAATACTGAGTGTCCACGTGATTGGATTGAAGGATGCAAAGTTCTGAACACGGGTATGTCTGTGAGGGTGTTGCCAAAGGAGATTAACATTTGAGTCAGTGGGCTGGGAAAGGCAGACCTACCCTTAATCTGGGTGGGCACCAACTAATCAGCTGCCAGCATGAGCAGGATATAAAGCAGGCGGAAAAACATGAAAAGGCTTAGCCTCTCAGCCTACATCTTTCTCCCATGTTGGAAGCTTCCTGCCCTCAAACATCAGACTCCAAGGTTTTGGTTTTCAGCTTTGGGATTCAGACTAGCTTCCTTGCTCCTTAGCTTGCAGACAGCCTACTGTGGGACCTTGTGATGGTGTGAGCTAATACTACTTAATGAACTCTCATATATATCATATATATGATATATATTGATATATATTCTATTTGTATTAAAAATCCTAAGTTAAATATAAATTTTGAACTTTGTTATAACTTTTTAGACTGTAGTAACATTTTCCATGACAATGAATGGTACACATATATCTGATGTATCTCTGATACATGATGTATCTCATATATATCTCATATATTTGTTTCAAATATGAAATAAATTCATATGAGATATATCATATATGATATATATATGAGATATATATATCCTATTAGTGCTGTCCCTCTAGAGAACCACGACCAATACACAAGGTAAGATCCTGTATCTAAAAAACAAAAAAGTAATGAAGGTAAATATGCAAGTCATTTTTCAAAAAAATGACATCCATTCTAAAGATGTATAAAACCTTGTCATCCATCATAAAAATGGCCACAAATTTCTCCCCATATTCTGGGGGTCAATCAACAGTCTCAGAATTGTCTTTCTAAAAAAATACATGCTAAAGTGACAGGAGTATTAAGTAAAATATTCAACAACCTAAACAAGATTAGTTGAGCTGATTTTTACAATGCTAAAAAAGGAACACTTGTCAACTTCACGTTCTCCCCATGAACAATCAAGGTAACAGAATTAAGCAAAGGGAATGTTTATAAACTTATGTCATTACCTTCCCATGCACTCATGAGGTTTATCTTCAAAGAAGAATAAATCATCATTAGATTTGCTCTTCCTAGACTTTCTCAAAGACTGTGACAGACTACTACGGAATGCAAAACCATAAATTTCTTTGCAGATGATCTTGATATATTTGCATGAGATTTCAAAGACCTGTAGAATATTCTTCATTGATTTTCAGGGTTTATTTGTTTTAACATCATCCTTTGAGGTAATGAGTAATGTTTGATCTTTGCAAAATGAAATGTGTTACTAAAAAGGATGCCAGATATGAGCTACTCCAGATGTTACTATTTGTGAACACAAGGAGCAACAACAAAAAAATGTTTTCCCAAGTTCTTATCCTCAATTCCTATCTTCAGATATTTTTTATTTTCCAGAAATTGAATAAATGTCTAAAAAAAAACTTACATCTGTCTAGCTTTACTACCACAAATTAAAATTCTTGATAAAATTACAATGCAGTAAGTCAGACAAAACAATATTAAGCAGTAATTACTAAGGACAATCATTTACCACTATAGAAATATAATTTTGCAAAGAGTCAGGCAGATGAGTACAGACATTATATTAGTTAGCACATATAATCTGCTGAAAGCAAGTCCAATTAATGATAATTCAGACTTCCAAATAGTCAACACTAAATTTTTGTTGACCTGTCAAAAGATAATTAAACAAATGAGAAGTCAGGCAATCAGAGACAGAGCTGAAAAAGTCTGTACAGTTATTATGCAAACCCCGGTCCCCTGACTCATGCCAAGAACCTTTTCTATTACACGCAACTCTGTTTCTAATTCCTCTTTGGAACTTAAAGGAAAATGTTTATAGGAAAATCTGACGCTCTACAATATACACTCATATGGCTATCGTTTTACACACACAGGAACAAAAAATGCCAGGCAGAAACATCAACTCCACCATCCATACTGACAGATCTTCTCATTTTAGGACAAATACTTTGTCTTCTTAGTAAGCCAGAGACAAAGAATTGGGTTAAATATGCAAGTCATTTTTCAAAACCACAAAAAATTACGATTTTTGTCAAATATTAGCAATTTCATATAGTACAGCCTATTTATCATCTAATTTTAAAAGGGTAATAAATTATTACATGACTACTGATAACTACTGAGCAATCAGTAGTAAATATTTTATGTATTTTGTTTTTTCTTTATTTCCATCCCTCTTTAACTCTTATTGAGTTCCTCAGAAAGATTAAGTGTCTTTAATCTGAATTTGATGCAATTTATTCAATACAACTGTAGTGAAGAGAGGTTTCATTTTAAGATAGAAGAAAAATATGTAAGTAGAAATATGCAAAGAACTGCCTCTGTTCCATAAATCCAGTTTAAACACATATTTTATAAACTGATACTTTTCTAGCACATACTCATGGCAGGCAGTATGCTGAAAACCTTACATATGGCATTGTCTGTTTTAATCCTCCCCAAAACTGTACAAAGTAGATAAAATAATTTGATTTACAGTGAATAAACTATGGAACCATTCTTTTTCTCCTTAAATTGATTTTCTTAATTAACTGAAATCATTACTGAAACCTTGACTGCCTTGAGATTTTATGATCCTATGTGCCTGTGTTCACTCATATCAAAATCCAAAAAGTTAAACATTCAGAGGTATAAACATATGTATCAAAGAGAAGCTATCCGTGAAAGTAAAGATTTACTTGGTATTGTTACATTGCTAATATATTACTTTTAGCCAAAAAATAAATCAATCATCCCCTAAAGGAGTACTAAAGTACGTAAATAATATAGTAACACCATCCCTATTGTTTTACTATCCTTATTAAAAATCCTAAGTTAAATATAAATTTTGAATTTTGTTATAACTTTTTAGACTGTACTAACATTTTCCATGACACTGAGTGGTACAGATTTAGGGACAATGGAGAATATGAAATAAGGAAAAAAATTCAATTTCAACATTTTTCAACTTCTGTTTTACCACCGTAGACCTTCTTGTGGGTAAGGTCTTTTGGAAAAATCTGGGCTTTGTATCTTTTTCTGTAACAAAACTAAAAGCTATTGTCATAAAATATTCAGAATGAATGCAGAATGAAAGGGGGGAAGTTATCGACTGACTGTGCCTGATTCCTGTCTCAGAAAAAGAATTGTCAACTTTACCAAAAGACTTTGCTGGGCCTCTTAAAGGGTGAATGAAGAATGCTTCCTAGATTCCTTTTAGATCAGCTGGAGCTTGAGAGAGAAAAAATGTGGAATAAAGCTATACCGACTACATGGGAAATTTTTCATTAAAAAGAGGATAAAAATGTTATATTATTTACAAGACCCAACTTTGGGGCAGATTTTATTTATGTAACAAGTAATATATAATAACAACACAGGTAAAGAAAATGTTATCCCGAACAAACTACAACAACTCTGGCAATGATAAATGTAATAAAGAATATGCCTATACATTTTATACTTTTTGAGTTTAGGGAATTCTTGTCACTCTTAAGTGAGTTAACCACTCTTAAAGATATAACACCACCACAGTTTAAACTAAAGGAGGAAAATCCACTCAACTACAAGAAAATCTCCTTGCTTTCTTTCCATTGCTTTTCTATTAGCGGGCTAAGATTAAAAATGTGATCTTCATTTTGAGATCAACATATTGACAGCACTGAAAAAATACAAGATTTTCTAAAAACAGTTTCTTCTCTTCTAAACCACCCTTCAAAACTATTGCTTTTGAAATTTTAACTATATTTCTTAGAACAAAACTCTAAGAAAAATTTAAGTCAGATACCATCTAAGAAAAATTTAAAAAGCAGTGAAACTTCTAGAACAGGGGTCCCCAACCCCCAGACCAGTACAGTCTGGTACACAGCAGGAGGTGAGCAGTGGGTGAGTGAGCATTACTGCCTGAGCTCTGCCTACGGTCAGATCGGCAAGGGCATTCGATTCTCATAGGAGCACGAAACCTACTGTGAACTGTGTATGCAAGGGATCTAAGTTGTGCACTCCTTGTAAGAATCTAATGCCTGATGATCTGAGGTGGAACAGTTTCACCCCCAAACCATTCCCTCAATATCCGGTCCATGGAAAAACTGTCTTCCATGAAACCAGTCCCTGGTACCTAAAAGGTTGGGGACTGATGCTCTAGATG